AAGTTTTGAAAACTCTTAATTTTTTCTTTGATTTTTATTGTAGTTAAAGTAAAGTTTTAAGTTATGTAATCGACACTCGTCACTTCTCCATTCAATTCCTTTCGTTTGATACCTCATTCATAAATCAATGAGTTTTATGGCTACTGAAAGCCGGAAAAGCTATATACATTACTACATGCTATCGTATTATATATTAAGATAGATATTAGATTTATATTAACATTGTCATCACCAAGTTTGCCCAGACATATCTCATTTATATTATATCACCCTTTCAGTTTATAATGACCCATCAATTGCAGCCCAAACGCTTCATAGACCTTGAACAGTGGTGTCAAAACTAGAGAATTAAAATAAATCCGTACATATATTATTACAGTAAGGCTCGAAATCGGTTTTGTACCAAATATAAGCTCCTGTCATGCTCAAGTACCATGAATGGGGTACCGTTGGATTCAGAATTTCACGGGGGGTTAGTGAATCGTATTCTCCACTTTTGTTTTTTTTTTTCTAAAATAATTAAAGTCGAAACAAACATTTTGCTAGGCTTCAATATCTGAACAGTGGTAGGTCTGTAGATCGTTACGGGACAAATTAGATCTAGAACATTTTGATGCATACAGCAAGACCCGGATAGTTAAAAAATTAAACACTTTTCCTTTGGTTATGCCCATGATTATATAAAAGATTACTAAATTCCCTACAAAATGAAAAAAAAATCATTGAAATCGGACAATTTTTAGCAAAGATACAACTTACTGAAATTTGTAAACATGTTGGTTCCAAACAAAAATGAAGATTTGAATTAATTTTTTTTTTTCGATTATATTTATCGATAAAGTAACATTTGATTTCTTTATCTTTTGATAGGTTACATTATTTTATTTTCTTATTAATCTGGCATTTTATAACAATATGCTGTGCTAATTTTTCGCACGAGCCTACTAGTTATAATAAATCCAACCAAATTACCTTTACCCTTCGTATTAAACCTTTCTGTCATACAGTTTCCTTTAACAATAACCCACTAGTCCCTGTTGAACAAATCCGTTACCTAGGACTCCACCTGGACAAGCATCTCACTTGAAATCCTCATACTAGCCTGAAACGAAAAGAAATCGCTCGTCGTCTCCACCTACATCAGCACTTACTAGACAAACTCTCTAAACTTCCAATTAATTACATAAGACTCATTTACATGACTATAAGGCCTATTTGGACTTACGGAGTTGAGCTATGGGGTTATCATCCATAATGACCTTAATGTTCCTCACTAGCGGATCCAGGATTTAATTTCGGAGGACTTCAGCCCGAGAGCTTTTTTTTTCATGTATATAACGATAATTATTTTGGAAAAAATAAAGATACTAACTACCTACATGAAATGGTGTTTAAGTGATTCTTGAAGTCTTATTAAATGTAGTGTTGCCCAAATGCGAGACCGAGACGAGTCTTGGTCTTGCGCAAGAGTCTCGAAATAGTGGCATTAGATTATTACTATAGAGATTATTAGATTATTACTGTGATTTTTCAGAAGAAACCTAACTAAGTCTGAATGAAAAATTAGAAGAGTTAAATGCAAAAGTATGTTGGTTATACCAATTCTTCACATGTAGTAACTTAAATCGTGAAATATTAGTAACTATTTTGCCTTAATTTTTATTCCAAAAATTGATTTTTTTTAACCAGCCTTGGCTCTGGTCTGGGTCTTGCAACAGTTAGGCGGTCTTGGTCTTGCGAAGTGTAAGACCAAGACCTATTTTGGGCAACACTAATTAAATGTAATTACACGTACAGTAATACTTTAATAAATAATTTTTTTCCATAAAACGTGGTTGCATTTTATTATTATCTTTTTTTTTGGGGGGGGGGAGGAGGTTTCAGTCCGAAAGCTCCTCCTTAGATGTTCCTGTGATGTTCCTTATTTTTCATAATAATGGTTAAATAGTTGACTGTCGTGAACAATGAGGAGAAGAATAGTTGGGGTGATCAGTCAAATACGAAGGCAAAAATAAATGATAATATTTATTTTGTCATTTGCCGACGTTTCGACCTGAAGTTGAGGCCATCATCAGAGCTAAGAAAAGAACCAGATAACAAGGTATGAGAAACATAAAAATTCCAGTAAAATGCAGTTGTTAGAATAATGACAATAGTTATCTCTTGTTCTTACTATTGTCATTATTCTAACAACTGCATTTTACTGTAATTTTTATGTTTCTCATACCTTGTTATCTGGTTCTTTTCTTAGCCCTGATGATGGCCTCTACTTCAGGTCGAAACGTCGGCAAATGACAAAATAAATATTATCATTTATTTTTGCCTTCTTATTTGACTGATCACCCCAACTATTCTTCTCCTCCTTATGTTTCAGATTTGGGCCAATCCAGATACCTATCCTTCCATAATAAACTTCATAACCATCCGAATCCTCTCGTTTCTAACTTTGCTTCCTCTTCGATTCCTGATAACCCTCCGAGGCGTTTGAAAAGAAGATGGCCTCGTAATCTCCTTATGTAGACATATTATTAGAGTACTACCAGTTGCTAGTTTCTCAACTATTTTTTTCGCGTCATTATATCCATATGTTCAAATTTACTAGCTGTATTTTTTTAATACAGATGTTAATATGATTAATAAATAATAAAAAAATTATATTAATAATTGGATGCCCTTCAATGTGGCAGAATGTATTCAATATTTTCAATAATGAAAGTAATAAAAAAAATAATAATAATCTATCTTCATTTGGGGTTATTTCTTCTTCTGTATAAATGATATATGTAAATAAATAATATGCATGTATTATTTTTGATCTCTGATTAAATCATCATACATTTATCTTTATCTCTCATATTTTTTGTCAAAGAGTTGAAGAGAGAAGAGCCCTTATCTCTTATCTGCGGGACATCTCCAACAGGGTCAGCTGGGAGGGGCGGTCGTTCCGGAAGAGTAAGTCAAAGCCCCTCCGCCGGAGATTACAGGGGAAGCCTTTCTTAATTAGCCCTAGAGGCCCCTTTCTCAACAGCTAAAGTAGATAAAAGCCTATTCACATTATTTTTTTTGTTTATTTAGAAGCCATTTTTATTATGTTTTTTTTTTTTTTTTATATTTCGACAGGCATAAGTGTATCTAGGAATGGGTACCAGAGGCAAGTGGTCCCAAACTTGGTTATAAATTAATTAAAACGTTGAATTATTTTGAAACGTATATACGTCCATCCAACATTTTAGCAAATAAAACTTGCGGCCTTTGACGTAGATAAGTATCTAGGAAAATTCGTTTGCATATATGATAAAGGAAGCAACGGTGTCTCCATACCCTGTACACAGTGTGCAAATCCTGTAACTGAAAGATTATCCTAAATGTATAGAATTTCGTCGGTGGATGGCATTTCCATGTTGCATACTTTTCACAGATTCATCGGGTAAACTCGAACTAATAGGAGGAAAGGTGTTCATCAATGTCTTAAAAAATCTGAACATTCCATATATCTGTCCCTTTCCATATTGTCTCCAGATTTCACAATACCATTGAACACATGTGGAGTGCACTGCATAGAAGGATTTTTGACCACCATCTTCAGCTTCTTAACTTTCAGAAACTCAGAGCAGTTTTACCATGTTAAAGTTATAATCAGTATTACTGTTGCCCAGATGCGAGACGGATACGAGTCTTGGTCTTGCAAACTCCGTCTTGGTCATGGTCTTGGTCTTCCGCAAGAGTCTCGCAACAGTCTTTCAGTTACTTATTACAGTGATATATTACTGTGATATTTTAGATAGGAGGAACCTAACTAACCCCGAACGAAAAATTAGAGGAGTTAAATGCAAAAGTATATTGGTTATATCAATTATTAACATATAATAACTAAAATTGTCGAGTATTAGTAACTATTTTGCCTTAATTTTTAAATAAATAATTTTTTTTTTTTACCTTTCCGGGTCTTGGTCTTGCAACAGTTATTCGCCTTTGGTATCGGTCTTGCAAAGTGCGAGACCAAGACCGATTTTGGGTAACAGTAATCAGTATTCAGAGGAGATTATATAAATTTTTAATTTTTATTATTTTTTTTAAAACACCTTTCATAAAATTTCCTGGGGTCAAATACAATCTTTTATTTTGTATTAATTTTCAATGTATTTTATAACAAAGATAACATTTAAATTCTATTGGAAACAAATCGTAGATAACTAGCAATATCATAATTAATTTTTGAACAGTATAAAAAAAAAATTGATATTTTCACTGAATACAAAAAAATATCCAAGTATGGCTTATATCGGACTTGAAATATCGATAGTCTATATTTTCATCGATATTATAAACATTTTTTTTTATATGAATATGGATATAAATTTTGTTTTTTCTAGCACATAGACTCATAAAGTTATATATATTATTTTCTTCTTTTTGAAGTAATTAATAAAAATATCGATTCTTCTGCACTCCTTATATTAGTAAAATTAATATTCTACTTCCTTTCCATCTTCTTCATCTTCAGATTTTTTTCCGAAAATTTCAATTCAATCAATTAAGCCTCCCATTTGATGCCCAACCTTAATTTGAGAAGATACCAACTAACAAATTTGTGTAAATTAAGAATAGTTAGTGAGAAGTATTCCACGGACTCTATTCAACTTAGCTTAAGGTAATCGATAGTCAAACTAGTATGTATATTTAATAGTTAAATTACATCAGAATATATACATTTTTTTTTTTATTTGAAAATTAATGTTGGAGTTGAAATCTAACTAACTACTTTTTAATCGGAACAGTATATCTCTACTTGATTCAGTTTTTAATTTAATTTATATCATTTAAAAATAAATTCTTATCAATCTCATTTGTTCCATAAATAGTATGTGAATTATTATTTATATCATTATTTTATAAGTTGTTGTTCATCAGTGTATAAAAACGGATCGTCTCGTTTGTCCATTGCGGTGAATCGATATTTTACAATTATCCAATTCTCTTATATGACGTATTTGTGGTATATGATAGTTACCGATGGATATGACTTACCAAAATCCCCTCCCCCACTGCTTTGGCAGTTTCCGGTAGAGTTGTGTCGAGGATCTAAAAATAGTGGGGCCTGCCCGAGGCGCTCTCTGGAGATAGCCTTCCTCAGTCGGTACTCTGCCGCTTTCTCGACAGCATCTCTTTCTTATCTCTTTGTCAGTGCTTCGGGTTTAGCTCGTTGGATTCTGTATCGAATATTTTGGATTGTTTTGATTCGTGTTTTATTTCTCCAGTGAGGCTATCCTGTGGTTCAAAAACATCTTAAGCGAAGCTTTATTATTTAAGGTATTTATTTAATATGAATATAAAATATTGCATTTTTTTTTATTTTCATCTAATAACTATAAAATTATTTTAAAAAACAAAAATGATCTATAGGTTTTTGAGTTTTGAATGTTTCATTGTGACACTTGACATTTTTATTTTTATTTTTTTTATTTAAATTTTTCAAAATTAAAACTTAAGGATGAATGACATAGGTTCCTGTTTAAAGATCCATATATGAAAAAACAAAAGAAATAATACAATGAAGTTATATTTAATTAAAAGTCCGTTGAATTTTTGTTTAGTTCTTTATCGCTTATCAAAGAGTTTGTTACAAATAAATGTAAAATTTAATTAATTTTTTTTATTTTCCTTTTTTTTAGAATTTTTATTTGTGCATATATCTTATTTGATGGCAAAGTATATTATTACTTTTGTTCGTTTTTATGAAATGATTTTAATTTGTCATTAATGATATTATTATTTTTTGAATTTTACTGAACAAAATTTTTTATTTTATTTTGAAATAAATGATTGATAATTTCGAAAGAAAAAAAAATGGCTGAATGATATAAGTAACTTTTTAATTTAATTAAATGTCAATTCAAATATACTTTTTGTTTAATTTGTTTTTTTAAATTTTACTTCTTAATCTACGCTTGTCAAAGTATAAATACCAATAATTAAAAATGTAATTTAATTTCAAATGCTATTATTTAATGCTCAATAGTTTGTTGTTTTTGTTTGTTCTCATGAAATTGTAATTTTTTATTATTATTTTGAGAATTTTCTTTTTCTTAAATTTTATTTAAAGTGTTAACATACATTTTATGGGATACCAAGTTAATACTATGTTATTGTCATGCCTATTATTACTATGATAATAATAAATATTGATGTTGACAAGCTATGAAATACCGAATTAATTTTCTTATTTATTTGTCAGTGTAGCGTATACTGTATTAATATGTAAGGAGCATTTTATCTAATGTTATTTAACCACTGGTTATAAATAATGAATTTTATTGACATAAAGATATTCTATATATAAAAACTGTTTATTTTATTAAAATTAAAACTTAAATTTTCTCTCATCAAATAGATGCAACAAATTAATATTCTTTTATTGAAATTTTCCAAAAGTGGAGATATTGATTTTTTTTAAAAACCATTGCTTATATTTACTTGCATTTATGATCTACCAGTCTTATCTAAAATAGAGGGACATATAGTAATCAAATTTTAAATATTGAATTGATTATCAGTAATTTGGTAGTAAAGATGGTATAATAAATTTCTAATAATCGATTAATTTATATTATTTATGAGCCAACATGATTTATTCATTATATTATTACAATTCATTTTTATTTTATTGATTTATTTTGAAATTTGAATATATTTGATGTTAAGCATCAACGGGTTGCTATTAATTCCGTAATGTTTATGCATAAAATTATTTTCGTCCTCTTAGGGTAATAAATATGCTCTTTTTTTGCAATATTATCTTAAGAAATTTTACGATATTATTTATCGATCCAAGTCATGTTATAAATTTATTTTTTATTTTACTCATGAAATTGTTGTCAACACATTTTATCTCGTCTGATAGCAGCAAAAAAATAAATAAATAAAATCAGCTTCTTTTTCTTTATATAATCGCTCATACTCTGCACATACTTTTGGTTAATTAATTAAAGTTATTAAGAATTTTTTTTAAAGCTGTTTTTGACTTTTTATTCAGTAACATTCCTTTGAATTGAATATCTGGTAATTATTCACTTGTATTGTCTTTAACTAATTGGGATGGCCTCGTCTGCATTTGCCTTGTATTTTCGAACGAAACTCTCGCTTACGTGATGCTGTCCATATTTTGAACATATTTTTAACCTATTCATGTTAAACCATATTTTTTTATGGCTTTAAATAGATTCTATGTATAGATGATTAAATTCTAAGTACACCATCATAAAGTAGTCAATTTTTTTTTTATAAAACAGTTTACAAAGTAAATTTACTAAGGTCAATGATTAAACAGATTTTCAGGAGGTCTAACACGGCCGTGTATGGGTACTGTAACTGCAGCAGTACAGTGCCATTTTATATCTCCTGAAAGTACCTTTTATCATTGACCTTAGTAAAATTAAAGTCCCTTTTATCGTTGGCCTTATTAAATTTAATAACTGTTTTCTCTACAAAAAAAAAGTATCTATTTTGGGATGGTATTTATTTTTATTTATTGTACATAGAGTGAAAATGTGATCTCTGAACACTATAAAAAATGTCCTTTGAGACTGATTGTAATATTTTTCAATAAACAAGTTTAAAAAAAAAAGTATGGTATACTTAAAATATATTTATCTTGAACTGTCTTTGAGCAATTCCTTCTTATTCAATAAAACCCGTGACTATCTTAAAAGAAACGAAAAAAATACCTTAACTCTTTTTCCTTTCGGAGTCTGGCATCAAATAAACTTTTTGTTGTAATTTCATCTAAAATGAACCCCTGAGTTTAGCCATTTTTACGTTTTGTAGTTAAGTAACTTTTCAAATACTCATAAGTATAATGGACCAAAAATTACGTCCTTTTCGAATTATTCCTAAATTATGAATTAATTTTGTAACGTCTCGATTCGTTGAGACGGCACTATCATATGGTTTGAAACCTGCCACTTTTGCGTTCACTTTTATTTAAGTCCAGATATAAAATTAGGAATCTAAATTACGTTTAGCGCACTCTACGTGATATTCCCTTTCTATTGATACCTCATTCGTCAAAATTCATCACTCCTCAGAGCCGGAAAAGGGATATATATTTAAGAAATAATATATAAGAAGGTAAGAGGGATCATAATCTCGTCACCATAGCGACAAACCATTTCACTGTTGGAATTTTCCCTCTGCTGCTAACCATTCATCCACTAAATTATTCATAACTCCTCAGGATGTTCTCCAAATTAAAGTCCTGCTAAATTTCTTGTAGATCGCTAAAGTCGTATTGAAGTTATAACATTTTTTTTTTATTTTTAAAAAAAAAAGATCAAAGGGAACACTGTATAATTATTTAAAATCATTATAGGGCTTGAAGAGAAGAATAGTTGGGGTGGAAGAATAGTTATTACTAGAGCTTTAAATGGAACTTTAACTTTTATTTTTTCGTTTGACTGGAATCACTATTATATATATTTTTTTTTTATTTTGCGAATTTTTCAAGTAAGGGTTATACAGAACTATTATTTAAACAAAGTCACCCATTTAAGAAAACTTTGGATTTGATTACATGATGTAGCTATTTTACGTTTTTAAATATTATTTATTTTATATTTAATCTTGAATTTAGGTTTAGAAAACTGTGTAAATTTATTTCTAAAAAGTTATACATTTTAAATTATTGAACTAATATTTTTCTTCTTTTTTTTTATTTACCTCTTTGTAATTGTAATTGGGCTACTAGATGTTGAATGACTCATTACGGGACTCCCTAACATATAAAGATAAAAAAAGTTATCATAGATAGAGTTACGCAGTTAAACAGGAAATGCACTCCTATATGGACGACATATACTTTTTCCTAAATCGTTTTTTTAAATCTACAAGACTTTTACTGATAATTTTTTAATCGCAGCTTAATTAGTTAACATTGTGTTTTTTCGCTCAATAATTTTCTAAAATTACATGATGATGAAGATAAAGAATTGACAAAGATCATATTTGATCTCCGAGTCCAAGAAAATAATTGTATAATTTAAATATTTCAACATGAATTTTAATGAAATATCTAATGTTTTTATTTTATATTATAACCGTAATGTTTGACAATAATAACCTTAGAAATGTAACTTAGAACACAAATTAGAACAATCGAATTAATACTGTTATGGTCAGTTGCTCCAACTCAGTAAAGCTTAGATTAAGCGTTATCTAAGATTTAACCAAGTTTAATCTTGATCGGTCGACCGTAGCCGTTTAAGCTTCGAAGAAAAACTTAGTTACCCTTGGCAACTATGATAATCTTTCACGGTGTTTTTGCTGTATCCTTTGTGTTAATAATTTTTATTTATCTTTTCTCTTGCAAAAAGGTATATGCTAGATTTTGACGACCTCACAGATGACGAGAATTTCCTCGGTTTGATTGCATTTTTACTAATGGAGAAAAAAGTATATCCATTGGTATGATGACGAATTTTGTGATAGATTTAGATAGATATTTCTTGTTAACTAACATAAAATAATTTATATTGAATATTTAATAGTTGACCGTTGCATTATAAAGGAAGGAGATGGTCCGGGGTTGCGGTCATAAATAGGCTAAATAGTGGTAAAACTATTTTATTGAAAGCCAACGTTTCGACCCGACTTTGCAGGTCTTCATCAGGGAGGTGTGTTCATCTAGGAGTTTCACTTAGAACTGAATTCTAACTGAATTCTGAATTCTATACTCAGTTCTAAGTGAAACTCCTAGATGAACACACCTCCCTGATGAATACCTGCAAAGTCGGATCGAAACGTTGGCTTTCAATAAAATAGTTTTACCACTATTTAGCCTTTTTATGACCGCAACCCCGGACCATCTCCTTCCTTTATAAATTAATTTAACTTTGACTTTTATTAAACGAAAAGAAACACTTGAAAAGACATTGAGAAGTCCACACAACAAAGAAATGTAGAAAAACCTATTAGTAACCTCCTACTTTCTTTCTATATCTTGGTTTAGATTTAACTTTTTACGAACGACCGAAACTTGTGCTCAGATAACTAAATCTTGGTTAAAACCGTGAATTGTGCAACTGGCTCTTATAATTTTATCGGAGAACTTATTATATTGAAAGCCGCTTTGCAAAAGTCTGTATGAACAATTTTTTTTTTTTTGGAACATGAGGTTTTGAGTTTTTCTGGTCAATCTTGTACTACCGCATATTCAGATCCGACAAAATGAAATCTACGACGTTTCATTGCTTTTCTATGACCTGTTGTAAAAACCTCGTAAGTTAAAAACCAGCA